TTTTAATGTATATAAAAAGCTGCTCAAACTAATTTACCTATCTTCTTATTGGCTACCTACTTTAAATGTATTCTTTTTTCTTTATGATTGTTATAGTTATTACATAAATATTAGATCTACATCTACCTACGATTTTATCAGAGAATTTTAACCTTCTCCTTCAAAATTCAGATTAATTTTAGGTGGGCACATTTATACCGATAGGGGCAAATATATTTTAGGGCAATGGATGCTGTAGCATCCCTGCAGCATCCCAGCCAGTCCGCGCCTGACTACAGGTAATTTATAAAATAAAACCTTTATCTGTCGTTTATGCGTTATTACCAAAAAAAACACAGACAGTTTATGTAGAACTTTTGATGATTCTCAAAGACACGTGTTCATCAGTGAAGTTATTTTCTATTGATTTTGAACTTGCTATAATAAAAGCGATTGAAGAAGTTTTTGAAGACAGCGTTTCCATACATTTGTGCTATTATCATCTGAGTCAAAGTGTGTGGCGTAAAGTCCAAAATCTTGGTTTGGCAACAAAATATACAAAAGACAAAGAATTCCGTTGTTCAGTACGAATGATCAATGCATTGGCCTTTTTACCACTTAATATTATTAAAAAAGGTACCATACTCAATACTCATACACGTACATAATATATACATATATTTTTTTTTTAATTTAAATATATTTTTTATAGGTATGAGCTTATTATATGACATTTTTTCATATGATGATGATGATATTTTAACATACTTCGATGTAACATATGTTAATGGGCCGTACAAATTAATTAATAATTCGCAAGTTATGTGCTTCAAAAGGAGACCATCTATGTTTGCTCCATATATACTAATAATGTATCAGAAGGTTGGAACAATAAGTTCCAACATTTAATTAGATTTAAACATCCACATATATATATATATTTGTTGAAGCTTTACAAATGATGAACTCCATTAGCTCAATGGAGATTTTAAAACTAAATACAGGAATTCAAATGAATTGTAAAATTAAATCAAATGAAGAACGGCTTAAAAACATATTTAAAACTTCTCAATTCAAAACAAATAGTGAAATTATTAGTTTTTTAAAAAACGTATCCTACGTAATTAAACATTACATTTTTAATATTATCTTAAAATTAATACAAAATCGTTTATCTTTTCATTTTATTAGAATAAACTTTTCAATTATATTATTATATTATACGATTATACGCTGATTATTCAGTATTTATAAATTTTATATTCGATGTCAATTGTCCTATTATTGGGTGTCAAATGTCTCGGGTGTCAAATGTCCTAGATTCATGACTCACATATTCATTGCCTAAAAGTTACCTTAAATAGATTAATTAAATTGTATTACTTAAGCTCATATATTATAGCAGTAATTTAGCATACTTAGAACTTAATCTATAAATAAATTATGTTTTAATAACACTCAACTTAATTTATTCAAATCTACAATAAAATCACTAAGGTAAATCACTCACATAATACGAGTTGTAAAGAAAATGTAAATACAGTGAAACCTCCACTAACGGACACCTTCCAATAGCGGACATTTTTTGGGGAACGGGGACATTTATACTACTTTTCAATAGGAAAAACTACTAATAGTGGACTTTCCGAATAACGGACATAATTTTAAAAACACAGATCGCGGATATTTTGTCTAACACAGAAGACATTTATAAAGCGTAGATTGAAAATGGAAATGAATAACGAAAATTAACGAAATTAAGAAAATGTGAAGGCAGTGTAATTGATAAAGAACTTTTGGTCTGGTTTAGCAAAAAAATTTGCCGGTTTCCGGACCAACAATATAAGAAAAGGCAAAACAACTTGCTGAAGTTCACGGATTAAATAACTTTAAAGCTTCAAATGGGTGACTTGAAAAATTTCGAAAAAGGCATAACATTTCGTTTAAATCTATCTGTGGGGAAGCTCCAGCCGTTGATAGAATTGTTGTTGATGACTGGAAGTTAATAATAATTTATAAAAATATAAAAATGTAACAATTTACAACAAATAATAAGTAATAACATTATATATATGTACATACATAGAACATTATTATACAAATAAATTTCAAAAATGTATCCCCTCTGAATAACGGACAACATTTTGGTGACCGAGAGTGACCGCTATTCAGAGGTTTCACTGTATA